AAAACGTAAATACCTGGAATGTCATTCCCATGCTGTATGGAAAGTTTCCGACTTTTAACAAAGTTTCCGCCAGGCTTCCACTGAGGTGTTAATTCAACCTCCATTTAAGATTCAGTTCATTAAAAATAGAAAATCTCAAAAGAAATTGTGACTATTTTGTCATTTTCCTCAATATTTGACTAAATCAGAAGTCTATTCTAGGCCTTTAATGTGGTCCAAATTATGGTCTATTGTTTGTTTATTCTGCTAAAATTGTTTTTAACAGTAAGCCAATCCACTTTTAGTATCAATTTTTTAAAGATCAATCGTTAATATTCATATTTCACAAAGGTATTAGAATACAGTTTATCTGCGGAATTTGTCAATGAAATAATTCGACCCAAGCGAGAGTGCATTTAAATCATCAAAATTTTATGTATCTCTGTATATTGTTTATTCTGAGTCAATATTTGTTCCATAAATACTTGAAAACTGTCCATGAAATTTAATGACTTAATGCTTGAACTATGCTTAACATCTCTAGCTCAGCTTGAATCCAGTGTTTCCTTGTTCTGTCACAACCCTGCTATGTAGACTTGGAATGCCCGCGTTTCCATTTTCTCATGCTATTTAAGTTTTTATCAAACACAAAAACATCTTTTGTCCATTTGAGAACTGAATTCTTTTTACTTCTTTATAACTTGTCATGCAATTGCTACAGATGTATTAAAACTCCTTATTCATGTAAATAATATTTAAATCCTGATATTTTCAATAGAAAACAAAGTTGTCCCAATGACTAAACTGAAACAGAGATGTACAAGTTGTTTTTCAATAAAGTAATGTTATCGGTGACTCTAATTTCAAAAGAACTTTTGTACCCTCTATTTTTAACTTTTTATCATCGCCACAATACTTAGGTAATAATCCCCAATGTATGCTCGAAAATTATCTTTGTCAGGTGACTACAACAACAGGAAGTTAAATCAATGTCTTTTAATTTTTTTTAACAATTTGCTTAAGTTTTAAAACACGTCAAATGCTTTGTTAAAGCTGAATCAAAAATACAAATATTTTAGTAAATAAAAAGCATAAATCATTTCTACTTTCACTTTGCTTTATCCCTTGTTCCTAAAAAAAATTTACCAATATAATTATATTTGCATTATGCAAGTTGCTTAAGCAGAAGAGACGTTAAAATCAAACTTAAACCACCTTTATATTTAGAACTTCATTGAAAATACTTTTAAAAGTGGTGTATAATAATTCTAAAGAATCTCAAAAAAAATAATTTCAAAAGTGTTAAATCAACCTTGTGCTTAATTAAAATCTTACTAAAATTTCATGAGTCTTATTTTAACTTTAAATTGCTGACGTTTTGGATAAAATCCAAACTTAAATTATATTTAAATAGAGATATCTAAATCAAATCGTATGTTTAAATCTAATTATTTAAATGATGACGTATCACAATTCCTGCACAAACATACAATTTAAACTGTCCTATATTGTCACACAATTCTCCAACACGCTTTTCCAATACGCTTTATTATATCAAAAAACTAACTATTCCCAATAAATTTGAATCAAAAGTTCCTTATTTGGCAAAATAAAACATGCCAAGTTCAACATTACTTTATCTAGTTCTTTTCCTATATGTAGCTACAATTTTTTTACACGGAGATTTAATCTTAATTTGCAATAAGCTGTCGCATATCTCTGTCGTCCCACAAACTTCAAATTTGATAGTATTGAACACTTGTGCAAATGATTCACGCTTATCAATAAAAACGTTTTCAATTTGCCGATTATTGACAATATATTGTAATTACGACCCTTTCCATTTGTAGGTAACGGTATATTACCCCAGCATAGATAAAACATTACTGAACATTTCAGCCACTTCAGTACAAAATTTACTTTAAACAGTTTTTTACTTGAATTTTAATGTCTGCGCAAAAAAGGGATCAATTAGATGCATTTTAGACATTTCCTTTCACCAAATTTTCTAGATCATTATCATGTCTTACAAAACAAAAATTCAGACTTTAAAGTGGATTTTTTACCCATACATTCAATATATCCGCCTTTTTTTTTCAGTGTTCCTATATGCACTTCAGTACAACAAAGACCACACAGTCTTGTCAAGTCAGCTTTAAATGTTAAAAGTACAGATTCACCTCCAAATATTTCTTGAGACACCAGTAAACCTTACATCTCAGTAGAAAATCTCAGTATGGCAAATGAGCACTATGTTTCAGTAGGGAAAATGAGCACTATGTTTTATACATGTAGAACTTAAGTTTGCCAGTTCAAGCCTTTGGCCAGCACCTTTTACAGTGACGTTTTAGTAGTTGGTTGTTGACATGATACTACTGATCTCCATTGCTGTTTCAAATGCTTTATGTGAAGAAGTTGGCAGTTATTTGAGGAAATTAAATAAGTACTGGTGCAGTAACAAGTCCAACAAGAACCTTACAATAGAATGATGGCTCAATCTGACACAAGATAATAGATTCTTATGTTTTACAAATGTATATGTAGATCCAAGTGTGACCAACTACAATAGGCCTTCTACCTTATACAGATTTTCCAACAGACCTATTTTTAACCAACAAATCAAATCGTCTGTTACAGAGGAGCATTGGACATCATAATTAAGTCTGAGACATATGCTATTGATTTTGCAACAAATGATAAACATATCCTCCAAATCTACTTTCAACTATAAATAAGATTTATTTTTCCATTTTATTGGTACACATGGGCAAGATCAGAGATGCCGAATCCTCAAGTGGGCCCCACATCTTCAATATGCTAATTTGGATAGCTGCTTCACAAAATTCTATTTACTGGTGCCATCTGAAGCCATAATTGGGTGGGGCAAGTAATTCAAACACAGCAACCTTAACCATCAAATTATTGAGGCCTAAACAAAACCACAATATAAGTAAAATATGAGAGAAGACGCCTGCTTTTAGGTATGATTTCAGCTGCTTACACCTGTGTACTGTAACCAGGCCATATGATATCAATTTATCATAATCTTCACTCTGCATATTTTTCAAAACAATGTCATATCATATCTGATTAATACATCAACAATTGCTTTATTTATCAAACTTCATAAACAATGGGGAATAATCTCTGATATAGTTTCGACTTAGAGCCTGTTACATCTTAGTAGCAACAAGATAATTCAGCCAAAGGCAACAAACGCGAGTGGAAAAATTCAGCCAAGGGCAACAAACGCGAGTGGAAAAATTCAGCCAAGGGCAACAAACTAATGACAAAATTCAGCCAAGGGCAACAAACCCGAGTGGAAAAATTCAGCCAAGGGCAACAAACTAATGACAAAATTCAGCCAAGGGCAACAAACTAATGACAAAATTCAGCCAAGGGCAACAAACTAATGACAAAATTCAGCCAAGGGCAACAAACCAATGGCAAATAAACAGGGCCCAACAAATCAAGGTGCAACAACAGTAAGTAATTTCATTTCCTTTCCATTAGACAAGAAAATATTTCTTAATATATAACAGGACAATTATCATACAGACCATCAATATGGTTATATTCCATTTTACTGTTTACTAATTGCAAAATGGCTTGATGTGACTTTGATTCATGTAGATTGATATCATTATTTTTTTTCAAAACATCTTAATTGAGAATCAACTAAAATTTCCATATACATTATTATTGACAATCAAATTATGTATTTATATATATTAAATATACTTTGTTCATCCATCAGCAGAATCACCATTAGACACACCTCAGAGAACACAAACATTAAATAATCTAATTAACTACACAACAAAACAACAACAACACTTAGCTAGAAACACCCTTGATATTTCACCAAGGACAATAACTCTCAACTTTTACATGAAAGCCAAATATTTACATGAGACTGAACCTTCAAAAGACAAAGTAGAAACATTCTAACTTGAATCTTAATTAGTGAAAATGTGAAGTCTAGTGCCAAATTGTTTATACACACAGAAACCTTTAAATATATGTGAGAAAAACAAACATTAATTCATCTTAACTTTTTTCCCACTCTGTTCTCCACTACATTGGCATACATCATTAGTTAACTTGTTTTCTTTCCAACACACTTTAAAACTTCCATTATCTTTAATGTGCTTCTAAAACTTTACAATATTTAGATGTAGCAGATTTGAAGGTATGTGATTTATTGTTGTTGTTCAAACTTTGATAATATTGTCTAAAGAAAATACCTAATTTTAGAAAAACATTAACAGTTATAAAACTTGCAGTTGCAATAAATAATCCAAATATCCAAAGATTTCATCTGTTGCCTTCATCATCATTTGGAACAAGAGCTGTTGGGGAGGCCAGCATGCTCAACTATTCTCTGTGCTTGATAGTAAAAACAAGAGCCCGGATAATGTAGAATTTTCTAAGTTCAAAAAAGGCCATAATTCTATCAAAATATATATTAGAGTTATAAAGTGTTTGGAAAATAAATTAAATCTATGGTATCATATTATTATGTCAAGTCATGTAGATGTAGAAGAAAGTTACATGAAACCTATGTAAAATAAAGGCATAAATTCAAATATCATAAAAAAGGGGACCTTTTTTTGATGACAAGGTAAAACATTTTGTAAACAGTGATGGAATAATGCACCTGATACCTAAGAATGCTTGAATGCCCCTTATCTAATCAAAGCACTGACCTTGATAACTTTTAAATTTGCAAACAGCAAACAGGTATCACATGAAGTGTTTCAAAGTCAAAACTATGAACAGCAGGGTATCAAAACATTCAGGCTTAGAAGCAACAGAAAAAATAAATATTTTTGACCAAAGAAGCATAATGATTACTTGGCCACACAAACAATAAAACATGCACTTAGTACATCTAACATTTATGACCATTTGCCCTTTGCAACATTATAAACATTTTGCCATTTAATTAATCATAAGGACAATGCATATTTTTTTTTTTAATTCTTAAAAAAAGATGAAAAATCAAATAAAACACTCACCATATGCTGTTGCTGTCCTCTGTTCAGCTGCAACTGGCTCTTCATCCTGTTTTTTGGGAGAAACACCAGATATATTAGACCGTCTTTGAACAGGTTTTAATCCAAATTTCCCAAAACCCGACATTTTGTATTCCCTTTTATATATTCTAAACTTCCTTACAATCAGACTTTCATCAGTACTTTAATATAACTGTCAGTTTTAAATAAACTTCATTCAAAAATTCAACATTCTCTTTTCTTTATTTCCAACTAAATTCTCAATATTTCAAGCACCTTGATATAACTTTCAAAATCAAATTAATCTCTTTTCTAAAGAACTATTATAATTAAATGCTTCTTCTAATTGAAGAGTATTTCAAATCTAAGAGAAACAAAGAATCTCTGGAACAAAATATTTCAATGATTCCAAGCATTTAAAACACTTTGGTAAAAACTTTTATTTACAAACTTTCTAATTAAGAAACAATAAATTATGATATATCAGTGTAAAGATATGAGAAATATGCCCCTCTCTCTGGAACTGACACAATTTTCCTCACAGATTTAAACAAGGAAGACTGGGTATATGTACCTATCACTTAACATCAGGTATATTCGTTACAAGACAGTATAGAATACACAGCAAGATAATGTTATTTTTTTTATATATATTCTTGAAGCAACAGCTCTTGACGCCCACTGATATTTCCAAAGGCAGGTTCTGACTGGTACTCTCCTGCTTTAGACTTTAATTGACTACATATTTTGTTTGTTTATAGATTAAAATACCAACATAATTATAGTTTTTTTAATTTTATGCCAGGACTTTCCATTATCATTTCATTAATGCATCATGAGAAAGTGAAAAGTTGGAAATGATGACCTTGACATTAAACCATTAATTCTATAAAATAACACTTGATTGGAATCAAGCAAAAGAGTAACCAGTCAGAGAATATATTCCAATCTATTGGCCAGCCCTTTGAAGTCAACAAAGTTTGCAACAATTCTGGTAATTTAGTCTTGACTATATAGAAAGTAATACAGTAACTAACATTTTTTGGCATTCTCTATCAATTAAACATAATAGAAAGACTCATTCCATGGCCAAGGAATTCCATAAATATTCTGAAAAAATCACTTCCCTGTATTTCGGCAACTGACAAAAACTTGTTATCTGCAGTGTATTGCCCAGACATTTTACCTGAGAATCATGTAGATACCTATCCCAACTGATTGCTGAACTTTACAGAACATACCCCACCTGTCAATCTTATTGTTTTCTTTCATTAAAACATGTTGTTATTACAGAAGCTATAGAAAGTCTAGAAAATTGCTGACCCATCGCAAGATTACTGTATCTATGTTCTGAATCTATATTCTGTTACAGCAGTCTTGCAGTGAAGTGACCAAAATGTAAGTTATTTTATTATCTGATTGGATTCTGGGTGGAAGTATTGAATCATCAACTTATTACTATTTTTGATAATGATCATGACTATTAGCTTAGTTTTGTTTGTTTATTTGTCCGCTTGGGAGGAAATACAGTACTTTAATAGACTCTGCAGTAGACTTCATTAATCAATGTTTTCAAAACAAACAAACAAGTCTCAAGTATAAATACCAGACATAAGTACCACATCATATCTAAGGAATGAGTAAGTCTAGTGCTTCCCATAAGCCCAAAAGGCCATTCAAATGACCAGGCTGTAAATGAAGAATTTACTGTCTGATACTGTCATGTTACATCATATTTCTAGCTATGCCCTTTTTTTAGGCATTTGATCCTATGTTAAAATAAAATGACCCTTACTGTTAAAATGGGTTCCAGGACATGTTAGTTTGGTTGTGTTAAAAATTGGTGACATTTTATGTAGGTAAAACTTAAAATCTAAACTGTAGGTCAAAACTAAGACAACTGTGAAACAATAAATTTAGCCTAGCACTAGTATGGGATATTTACTCCTCAAATGAAAACTTGTTTCTAGTTCTGAGAGAGAGGCATATTTCTTGATTTAATTACAAGAAGAGAATGATTTAAGTATGATTAATATTCCGTGTTACACAATACAGAACACCAGCATGCATACATTTATATGTCATTAACATATACTTCTCTTTTCTGTAATGAGTTTAACAGCTTGGCAAAAACACACATTTGAAGATTATACTTACTTTGTGATATATTATTTATAAATAAAATATCTATGGTAACTTAAGTAATTTTAAAGAATGAAGTATACAATCAGCTTGAAGTATATAACCTATAATGCCCAACTGTAACTTTAAACATTCAGCAGATTTTTGACATTCTATACATATATAATATTAATTATGACATTTATCTTAATTGCTGCTGGCATAAAAATATAAATTAAATGCATTTTTATTATTAGCATGAGCACAAGACATGTTAACATTGACTATAACTATTCACTCATAGGTTATGACTTTTCCCTAGGAAAAGACAGAAAAAAAATTCTTAGTTACCAAGAGTTTTCAATGATATTAAAACGGTGTTTAAACGGTTAAAAAAACTTTAACAGTTGTTACTCTAAAGACTTATTACAACCTGTGAACCACAAGTATGTAAAATAAAATAATAAATTCTGACTACTGAATATATCTATGAAATAAAATTTTTATTGCTGTTAAACTTATGAGTGAATATTTACATTAGAAAACAACATATAACACAAAAACATTTCATAATGAGTTACTGTATTTCACTTTTAAAATCTTTACAACTTTTTATAATGTTTGAAAACCTGCCTTAATATATTTTGTCAAGTACGAAAGAATTTATGTTTACCTAACGTTACACCTTACATAAATCAAGGTTTAATTTCAATTCCTTGTTTGGAAATAAAAATAGTATATTAAATTTTTGCAAGTTAACTTTCATTTTCAGTTTTTTTAAGAAAGAAAGTTAGAAAAGAAGCTTTAATCTAAATGTTAGGAGATGAAAACTTAAAAGTTAAATGTATGACAAACAAGTAAAATATTTATGCATTTACATACAGTTTTTCATTCAAATGAAAACCTCATTGTTTATAATAAATTTGCACCTGTGTGATAAGAAAATACAGAAAAAATATATAAGAAAAAATACACAAAAAATCAAATCACAGATAAACAACCTTCCAGTTTTTACTGGCATGCAATATTCAAAACCGTGCAAAAAATCAATTGTTGAAAACAGTCATTAAAATTTTCAGGCATAATTTTGCACGATTCAAGCCAATGAAAATGACAATCATTTTTCAGACATGCAGTTATAAGGCCATTGAATTACAAATACAGTAACTTTTCTTAAAACAAGCAATTATATATCCTATATTTCAATAAAAAACTCTTTGAACGAGGCATTATGTTTCAATAGGATTATGCATTTTATGATAATTATACATCCCCGTTTATATATTGATTATAATTTATTATATTATAATTTAGTGATAAATAATTTTTATTTATATATTTCTTTCTAGTTTTACAAAGTGATTAATATTTTAGTGATTACCAGCAAATAAATGTAATATATTATATACTAACAATTATAAATCGTGGTTAACACTGTGAACAGAATTTTCACACAGGTCCGGATAACTCTTTAGTGATTATCAAGTGATGAGGTATTACAAGAGTAGTTTCCCTTTTATACACATCCGCTTATATACCAGAGAAAAGTAAATGCCTTTTTGATACATATGTCATTATTAACTAAAGGAAATTGTTTATTCAATAAATCACCTATCACTATAAAAATTATAGACATTGAAAAATATAGAAGCTACTTTGTACAAAGAAATATACTAGAGATAGTTCAATCATGATTATTGCCCTAAAATCATTCAGTACCATGATACAATGCCAAGGTATCGATACATGGCAATTCATGACGATACACGGCAATTCATGGCAATACAATGCGATTCATGAAGAAACCTGGCGATACATGGAGATTCATTTCTCTTGTTCAGTCTGGTTAATATGTTTAAACATAGTTTCATAGTCTTGTAATTTTTTGTTGTTAATTACTTCACGACATATTGAAGCCAGAGGAATGATATATAATAACTCAAAGTTTGTTCCGGTCAAGAGCAAGTCACTTCAATGGTTACCATAATAACAGAATAAAGAGATATAAAACAGAACTATGGTTATGTGCATTACTTATAAGAAACACTTGAACTTTACAAAATTACTATCATGATATTGATTCATGAAACAACAAAGATATAACAGTGATATTTTATTTTTCTTTTCAACTAAAAAATTAGATAAACTTTCTCCTTTAAATGTAATTAAATATAAAGGATTACTATTTCTCTTTTAGGGTACACAGCACTGATGTGTATAAACAGGGAACCAGACAACACAAATTTTTACCTCTCGTAATCTACCAAAACTTTCCACGACCGAGTGATCAGAGCTCGGACTTAGAACCAGAAAACTTGTTGATTTGTATGTAGTAACCTGGTTTATATTTACATATATTGTGATAAAATATGCAATAAAACATTTGGCTAAATGAAGTAAAAAGCTAACAAAATAATTACTAACTATGACTAAATCTACATAAAATTTTTTAATGAAAGAAAAATTGCAAATGCATAATTATAACATCACTAAATACAGCAAGTAAAAAAGCAAGAATCGTTCATGTTACTCAAATAAGTTAAAATAATAAACATATGCATATAAACAACATGCTTAACTGCTTAGTAATATTCTAAATTTATCTAGACCAGATGATATATATCTGTATAAAGGGAGATAAGTAAAGATTACTAATATAATCTATACAGTACAGAGTAGTTGCTAGTAGTCATATTATGATATTTAAGTTACCTTACCATGGCACTTGTATGTTAAACCCTTATGCCCAGCTAAATTTGCGTAATTGACTTTATTGTCTGCTTTAGTAAAGGGATATCGTTATCAAAATATTAAAATCATGAAGTCAACTTTAGAGTGACTGGTCAGACTACATGGATCTGCAGGCTGGCTAGACTTTATACTGGTGATACTGGTGACCCTGGTTAACTAAAACAGCTGCCAGTGCTTGAAGGGTTTACAAATACATTAATTATATATTATGAATTTACATCATTTACCAGCATTGTTAGATGATAATATACTATTACATCTGTTATTCTAAGGTTAACTATGTTGTAAACATATACGTTTTAATACTTTTTTTGTATTTTTTTTTTTTTTTTTTAGCTTAAAATCAGAGAAAAGAAAAGGAGAAACAGTCTGCATTGATAAATTAATCAAGAAAAGTTTATAGATTCTGTAATATGAAAGCCATCTGATTGGTTGTTTCTATAGAAGAATTGCGAAAAGCCTACATAAACCCATTCCTGTGCATATGTACAAATCATATATACAATGAAGTTTGTTAATACTGTGGAATACCCAACATGAAATTTAGAAAAATGCTATTACCTTTCCTGAACTTTCACTCCTAATTAGTATTTGAGCACCTATGTTTATAGTTTCAGAAAGACTTTCATCACAAGTTGATATTGCTTCACTTTTATCATTTTCATATTGGAAATTTTGAGCAATATTTTGAAGTACTTCAGCTGAAGAATTATCACAGATACTTTCTACCCCTTCCGATCCATCAGCACTTTCATTAACATCTATTTTATTGTTTTCTATACCTGAGTTTTGTAAATCATTTGTTTCTAAACCTGTATCTTTAGTTATTTGAGGTAATGCTTCTAAATTCATTAAATCTTTAAAATTTTCAGCTTCATCATCAGTTTCTTGTTTGACAATTTCTTGTTTCTTGTTTGACTGTTTCTTCTTCAAGTGTTTCATGAACAACCATTTTTTGTTCAACTGTTTCTTGTTTGACAGTTTCTTGTTCAACTGTTTCAGTTTTTTGTTCAACTGTTTCTTGTTCAACACTCACAGTTTCTTTGACATTGTTGGATTTACTATACACTTCCTTGTCTATATCTGATACTGACCCCTCATCAGTTTGTTTAATTTCATTATCAGTAGGAACTAGGTCCTCATCATGCTTTTCTGAGTCAGCATTAAACTTATTATCAGTTTCAAGAATTTCTGAACCTAATCTTAAGTTATTCTCTTTAGCAGCTAGTTCTTTTTGCTCTTTTTCATTGATATCTGTATCAGCTATTGCACTTTTTAAATCATCTTCTGTTTTAGTAGTTGCTTGTTCAGGTATAAGCCTTCCTTGTTTTTCCTTTTCTGTTACATGCATATCTAAGGCTTCATCTGTAATAATAACAGTAGGGTTTTTCATCTAAGCAAGATGTAGTTTTAGTAGATTTGATATTGTTTGAATTTGCATCAAATTTCAGATTAACTTTAACAGTTTTTCGTCTATCTACTTTACCATCATCTATTTCACTGTCATCTGTACCATTCTTATCTGAAATGGTAGTGTCAGATTCATCCATATCATCAAGGGAACTTTCTAGGTCGAGACTACTTTCAAGTTCTGATTCCATCTGATCTTCATAAACATCTTTCTCAGTATCACTTTCTATCACCTCCTGATCTACTATTATCAAGCTGTTCCGATTATAAACCGCTGGTGACTCTTTCACATCTGATGAGTCAGGTGCAGACAACTGCCTCACAAGTGGGTTCACATATTTTGCACAACTAAGGTATTTGTGATGTGACACCCTATTTAGCCTTGCAACACCTAGTTCGACATGTGACACTATAGGGGAATTCCCGTCAATCACACGCTTATCACAGTTATTCTCCAGAGGCATAGTCTTCATTTATTAATTCCTAAAATTGTAAAACCACTCTAATCAAACCCCCTTCATTTGCAACCTGAGATTTTTACAAGCCACAAATTAGGTATTTGCAATTAGATTATAAACAGAGTCACAAAGTATAGTTAAACTGGTATCTGATAACTACATTATCTTTACCGCAAACAGATAAAGACAAAAACTGCACTAATCCTTGGACAACGCAATTATCTCCATAAATATTTTGTCTTCAAAGCATCCGTTAAGTCCTTTACTACTCTCTTTCCTGTCCATCTTCCCTAACAGGATGACAAGACTCCTTTAAACTATTTAAGAAATTTAACACTTTCCTAATTTAGGCAAATAACAGGTTATAAACAGCAAAGTTACCTTATAACATATTATGTTTGTTACTACACACTTCAATTATCTAATAACGAGAGATTCCCCATCCATGAAGTAAAAAAAACACACTCCTGTCCATGTAGCCTGGGGTATAAAATATCATACGTAAAACCATTTAATATATAAAATGAATGGCTATATTCAAATACATTATTCGTTTTTCAAAGCTCTATGGAATATATAAACAGTTAACGATAATATTTTTTTCTTGGATTACTTATCATTCATTAATCTATGCTTCAATTTGCCCAGACATCAAATTCTATAATTATGTCAACTTAGTTTTGAAAGTCTACGAAAATATTATGCACATAGGTGTATACATTTTAATAATGCAATAACAACTTTGCCAGTTATTGTAATTATATTGCTATTTAAATCAAAAGGTCAAAGGTCAACACATAAACTATTTAAATCCATTAAAACATGCAAAGACATGAAAGAAGGAAGGTTTAATATCTTAAAACATGAAACTTGATATAGCTACATGTATTTTGTAACCTGAAGTAAACAGGTAACATGTCTACAAATACACCATTAAAATTAAATACATGTGCTGTTATTAATAGTCCATAAATTGAAAAAAAATCATTCACATAATAACTGCCAATGGACTTTTCACATCTGAAGCAATTTGTTTATCACTGCCATCACCAAGTCAATGTATTGTCAACTATATACTGCCTATATTACAGAGCAAGTTTTATGATAGGTCTTAAGGCAAAAGTTGTCAAACATGTCAACAAATATGATCAAAGGTTGTTGATATCTAATTAATAGCTGATGGAATGTGAAAATCCATACAATCAAGGGTGACAACTGTGTTGTGTTGTTGTTGATCTACAAATTACTGTTGTTTCTTTTCTTTTTTATCTCCCCTCCCCTTGCTGAACCAACCAGTAATGCTGTTTCTGAGTGACTGAATGATAGTCAAATTGTCTCAACAAATCTGTGCAGTGCCTCCAGCTTAATTTTATTAAATATACGGCAAATTTTTTTAAGACAGTCTGAATCTCTTCACTAATCTTGTTTGTATCTTGATTATACAATGTATTCTTTATGTAAAGAATGAATAAACTGTAAAACAAGAATGCTTCTTTTGCATTAAAATGGCAAAGACTGATTCCCTTCATATTTATACAAGGCTATAAAAGTCAAGTATTGTAATGACAGCCCTTTTTATTTTCCAAGCCATGAAATCTGTCATCAAAACTGCTTCCTAAAAACATACTTGAAAGAGTTTGACATCAAAACTGCTTCCCTTCCATAGAAGTCCATAAAAGACTAATATCAAGTCTGCTTCCTTTCATTCAACTATATGCAGATAGATGTACATGTAATTATCTCCAACAATCAGATGACTGCATCCTTTTCACAAACCAAAGAAGTTCATACATCAAATCTGCTTCCATTATACAAGACTATAACATTGTGACTGTTTCCTAAATTCAAGCATACAAAGCTCAGGATCCAATGCTACTTTCAGTTTAAAAAAAGTTTCTTTTCTTTTTTTACAACTTTCTGCTTCCGTATATTGATTGTGTCTTCTGTCTATGTACACTGACTTCTTCCAATTCCTTTTCGACAAGAGTTGACTGGGAAAATCCATTGAACATATAAATGCTTCTGATTTTGTATAAGTTCCTTGAATGTTTATAATGTTTCAAAGTCTCAAGTTTTGCCTACATTTTGCCACTGACAATTGTCTTTATCTTCTGGTATACAAACTCATTATGAAAGAGATCATATATCAGGAAACAAGATACTTTTGCAGTGTCATAATACTTAAGATACAAAAGTTTCTGTTATCTCTCTGAGATATTCTGGTGAGTATGGGGGGAAAAGGCTTGATTTTCTTCAATAATAATAATAAAGAATCATACAAGTCTATTTCAGAATATTACTTTAACACTTTTTCCAAGCAAATTCTTTCACTTTCAAGGTCATTATGTTTTTGTGTGATTAAAATATTCAATTTTTAAGGCTCAATTTGCTAATTGGCCCAAATCATGATCAAAGCTAGCTTATTGCCATTGTACTGATGGGTTTATCACAAGAAGTCACACCACTTGACACCTGCAGTTTTTGATGTTCCTATTTATAGCTCATAATGACACTAAAGACGTTACATACCTTTATTTTCAGGTTTTTTCTTCTTCATTAACTTTGTAATTAAGTAATTAACTATTGCAATTCATTTTTTGTCTCTGTGGCTTATGAAACAGGTGACTAGATATATTGAAAATTGAATATTAAGTTAAATGTACTGCCTGTGTTGTGGGGACATAATTCCTTAATGGCTCCACTTTCCATTGTCTAGTAGCATGAATTGACTCAATCAAGGAAGAGGTTTTTTTTAACTTATCTATTTTTATTTCAATCTATTTTGACTTTTCCCCCTATGACCATAACCTTATATAAGGAGCCGTCTGCAGGCATTTATCATTTGAAATTAACAACATTCTGCTCATCTGATTCTGTCATAATATCTATGAGCTTCTAGTGACAGATCTCAAAACTTGTGATACAGTATTTAAACTGAGCACCCAAAAGTCTTGTCAGACTAAACAGAAGTGCAGGAAGCTGGTCTGGTTATAACTCACGGGGGTATAGGCCTGTCATTTTCAAGAAATCATCATGTATTATGAATGTAAATCAAGGATAGTCCATATCTCATTAATATAGTGTCATATACTATAGTTTCATTTACAAAATGACATTAGCCTTAATCTGTATGGTATGAAGTTTTTATCAATGATAAGTGGAGATATTTCCTCCCATCAAATTTTATCAGCTGATCTGGTAAAAACCAGTTTCATTCAACATTCTAAGTATCTTTTTGTGCCAGTATCTTACAGTATACTTGTACTTTAGTACCAGTAACCCTCTTTCTCTGCAAATAAGGTATGATATAGTCCGGTCAGAATGCACAAAATGCAGGTTTGTACAGGTGGAAAAGATTGGTTTCATATTGCTATTAGCGCTCAGCACAACTTTCTGCTGAGTAGAAGAACTTTCAATAATAAATCCAAAAAGCTTTACTTTATTTATCAAAGCTGTAAAGATTGACAATGAATTGTTTAATTATTAATGAAGCTGTTGAAGAAGAAACAATGAACATAATTTTCCGATGTTAAGTATTTTATCAATTGAAAATATCAAAGGCTAAGTAGTTGTATTCAAAACTGCCCTAGTTAACGAAAAAATAGCTGACCCTTCGGCCTGTCTGCGGCAAGCACTTACAGTGTAAATATTGAGTCAAGAGATATTTACTATAGTAAGATAAGTTCTTTCCTTGTATAATCAAATTAAAAACTTTTCACAACACTTAACAATACCAAGCATGTTTACAAAGGATACACTGATTTCATTGTATACATTAAGCTGGGATTTACATACAAATGACCCAACCATGTTTCCGAATGATTAACTGACTATAAACTATGCCTGTGAAAATCCTCGACTTATGTCCCTTTCAATTTTTGTATGGGGTATCAAATATTGCAAGTTTAAGATGGACAGTGAAATCAGACTTCTCGAAGTTTGTTGCATTTGATATTGTAATGCATCTCCAATTATTATTTTTTACAAGTGATAACCATTTGTTTTACCCAATAAGCCATGAAACAACCGGAATCATTAACTTGTAACAAGATGCATTTGCCATGTTTCTAGATTTGAGTATCTCTTTCATTTCCTTTAATACTGAATAAAGATTAATTTTAATTGATATATGTAATAACTATATTATTTGTGATGCAGACTGTTTCTCTATTATTATTCATACTCATTTTAAATATAATGCATTGTTACGGTAATTTACTGATGAGCAGCAGACCAAGTTCTACATAGTATCTTAATAAAGGCAAAATTGAGACAAATATTGGGTCTATTAATTACAAAATTGTTAAAAACCATAACCAGATCTACAAAGATACTGAAACAGAAGATTATTATCTGTTAAACTGTATATATCCTTTCAATCAAGATCCCCTATCTGCTCCCCAAGCTCCTTCAGGGAATTTCTACCAGCTTCAAATTTTACTTGTAAATACCCAATTATAAATATTGACTTCACTCCATTTCTAGATTTTCTTCATTGATCTAATTCCCAAATAATCTAAGAATTAAACGGCATGAGATCTGTTCCCAATTAAGTAAGTACCATGGTTTCCATAAACCAGGTAAAAATTCCCTGTCCTTACAATATCCCACCACCCTCCAAAAAGCTCAGTTTTTCTTTAACAATTAACAACACAGAGGCTCTTATTGAAAGGTTTACAGTATAAAATAATATTGCTTGCATACATGACAATAAATTAAACAGCTAAGAAAGTCTTTATGCAAGTTATGCAAATGTAACATATTCCGTAGCTCTACATCAGGGCTTTGAAGTTTTCACAAAAGTTTTATATTGAAAATATTTCTCATATAAGCTAGATCTCATTAATCTACAATCAAATATTTCTATGTCAGAAAACTTCAAACCCCTATCAAAACTCCAGTCCATGCCAATGAAATAAAAGAAAAATATGAAATAAAGAATTCACAGTTAAATTGTTCCATGCATATATAATAGTGTAATATGTCTTCATACAATGTACATGCCATGCAGCACATTCAAACCCACCCCTATATCCACAGTATCTGGTTCTGCCCTTATCTCCTCCTTTACAGCTTCCTCCAAAACTGGAGCAGGTTCCTCAACTGGAACTGGTTCTTCAACAGGAACTGGTTCTTCAATTGGTGCTTGTTCAACAACTGGTTCTTCAATTGGTGCTTGTTCAACAACTGGTTCTTCAATTGGTACTTGTTCAACAACTGGTTCTTCAACAGGAGCTTGTTCAAGAATTGGTTCTTCAACAGGGGCTGGTTTTTCAATTGGTGCTTGTTCAGAAACTGGTTCTTCAACAGGAGCTTGTTCGGGTACTGTTTCTTTAACTGGGTCTTGCTCAGGCACTATTTCTTCAACAGGAGCTTGCTCAGGTACTGTTTCTTCAACAGGGGCTGGTTCTGGAACTGGTTCTTCAACAAGAGTTGGCTCTTCAACAGGAGTTGGTTCTTCAGCAGGGGTTGGTTCATCAACAGCAGCTGGTTTTTCGGAAGGAACCTGTTCTTCAACAGGAGCTTCTTCTTGTTCTATTTCAGGTTCAATTACCTCAGGTGCTTTTTCTGCTTCAGCTTCTACTTCTTGATTGTCTTCAGCTACATTGTCATCATCTGCAGCTGCATTCTGATTGTCTTCAATTGATTCTCCAACTTCTGCTTCTTTTTCAGACTCAATCTCTTCATTCATTTCACTGGTCCCTTCACCTAATACTTCTGTCATGGTCTTGGTATCAACCTCATCTTCTTCAACACCATTTTGAGTTGGACTGACTGTCTCTTGGTTTTCAATTGGTCCTTCATCAGCTAGTTCATCAACTGGTCCATTTTGAGTTTCTGGAACTTTTTCCTGTTCTGAAACTGGCTCAGATGGTTTTTGAGCACTTTCGTCCTGTATTCAAATATAAGTCATTGATATATAGTTAAAAACATGTATAAACTAAACTGTAATCAATAAACCATAGAATGATAATGGTAGACAGTGAACACAAAGTGAACAGAATACAAATGATGTTCAGATTACAGTTATCATAAGCATTTAAATACAGCTAAAACACACCCAAAAATGTAGAACGAAGTATAAAAGTCTTTAAAAAGGCAAAAGAATTTCTTTCCCTAAAATATGTCTGTTTAAAGCGTTGAAACATATTACTTAACTGAAAAAATAAAATCCTGTTTGCACAAAGGTATTGGTTCAAAAGCTTTGTGTATCTTTTGAACAAGTACTCAATCACAAAAGAAATTTTCTTCTCTGAAAAAATCTTCATTTTTGAAATATGATAGAAATAACCATATTAATATAGTTTTGCACATATTGATGAATATTAATTTCAATTATCCCTTTAATTGGTAAATTGTCATTACTAAATAATCAATAATGAACAATAAAAGATGGCTAATTGAAGAGATAGTAAATCAAGCATCATCAAGAACCTGTCTATTTGAAGTAATTTATATCTGCATTGCATGAAAAGGAAAAGGTTGCAATTTCAACTGAACAATAATTTTTTCGATATCCAAGAATTGATTTTTAAATCTAAGACATTTTTTTGGTTGAAATTTGAGTCTCAGGAACTTTGTTGCAGTCATACAGCAAATATCAAGCTAAATTGTCATCAACTAGTAGACACCAGAGTTAGACCACACAGGTCTGGAGGATCACACAGAGCTGTTTTATTTAACTATTTAAAAGAAATGAGCCGCATCACGACAAAACCAACATAGTGCGTTTGCCACCAACATGGATCCAGACCAGCGTGGGCTGATCAGGATCCATGCTGTTCGCTATCAGTTTCTCTACTTGTAATAAGGTTGGTAAGCGATCAGCATGGATCCTGATCAGACTGCGGGGATGCACAGGCTGGTCTGGATCCATGCTGGTCGCAAACCCACTATGTTGGTTTTGTCATGGCGCGGCTCAAATGCATTTTAGTTGTTGTCAGATGTTAAGTCTACATCAAATAAAAGAGATGTTATGTTTCATTTCTGTCATGTAATCTCTAATCCACTTTTGAAATACTTGACATAATTATACAAATCTATTTATGAAGTAACAGCAATTGAATTATAAATGATGAAATAAAAGGCAATGCTTATGAATTAAGGTGTAATATAAACTTCTCATTAATAACATGATTTAAACAGTAACAACACAATGGAGTCAAAAATTTTGATCCTAATTTTAATATTCAAGAAAGTGATCATGAATTATGCTTGTAAATACTCTTATACATTGTTTTTTCACTATTTATATATATTTTTTTTTACTTGTCTAGAGGTATGCAGCTTTAAGGGATTTCGATATAACTTCAATAGCCAACACTACAAAGATATGCAGGCTCACTGAGGCTGGCCTATAGTACAGGGGTGGGGTTGGCAAAATCAATTCCCTGTATTGCTCAGGTTGTCCCACAATTGGTACAGACAAGTGAATTTTTCTGCAGAAATTTATCTATTTATATCTAAATGACAAGTAAAGAAATGCTTGAGATGAAAATAAGGACAAGTATGTAAACACCAGATTTTGGTGGCACCCAAACTGGTGGCATACAGGTCAATAATTATGATCCCTTGTATTCAAAGAATTAGAAAATGCTTATGTTAACTGTACTGACCATAAACAATAAGAAATATAATCTCTGAACCAAAAAAAAACAAAAAAACCTGGAGTAATTTTGGTTCAAACCAAAATAAACTTGTGACTAAAAAAAAGTAAACAAACATGATTACAATTTCAAATTACAAGGTTCAGTCAACATTCAAACTTTAACAACATTTTACAACATTATACAGTTGTTAAACTTCTATTTTCACACTTAACAACTTTTATGTACAAGTTCTAACTAGCAATTATCAGAACTACTAAAATGAAACCTAAATTGTAAACCTACACAAAATTTAACACGCACACAAAAAAAAGGTTTAAAAATACATGTGTCCTACCATTTTTTTTTTCTCGCTTCTAAGATTTAAATCCAACTATGTTTATATATAACACCTTTTAACATAAATATTTTCCAAATATAAAATTTTCTGAATTCAAACGAATATCTAATCTGTCAAAAATCACTGCGGTTAACACAGATGGTAAACGTTTTGTAAAGTATATCTTCCGTTTTTTTTTCTATTAAACATACAATCTTTTTTATGTAAACTTACGACCAAACTATCGAGTACTAATTTCAATGTACTATTAATACACACACAAATTTCTTATGAATAAATAAATAAGTTTACATTGTAATATTTATCTAACCTTAGCACGATAAAAAAATAATTACAAAGCAATTAATAGTATGTGTGTTGAAATGGGCTATTATGGTACAACTAAATGCGTTTTTGAGTTAAAAAAGGAATATTCACAATAGTTTTAACAAAGAAGCGCAATAATTACCCAACAATACTAGACAGATCTGATAACCATTACAATAGGCAGCCTTTAATATACATAATAAAATGGAATATAATTGATGTCTTTACTAACCAGCTTTTGCAAATACATTACAATATTCATAATATTTGTAAACTAAACAACTAACTGCTAAATAAATTTCTAATTATCAATAGTGAAAGGGAGATAATTACCTGTTCTGGTTCAGAGTTTTCACTATTTGATCTACTTCTTGTCTGAGTTTCCTCCCCTTGTTGATTTTCATCAATGATGTTGGCATCTTCTGTTACTCCAAAATCATCACTAATAACTGGTCCAGAATTTCCTAGTAGGTCTCCACTATCTTCCACATTATTTTCTGTATCATTACCCCCTAGTAACTCCTCTTCCCCCATTAAATCCCCTCCCCCAGATGCATCCCCTCCTGACAGATCCGCACCCCCTAATAAATCCACTTCTTGTCCCCCACCATTTGTTAATCCATCTTCAGCATGTCCATTTGTACTTCCGTCATTGTGCATGTACTCATACAGTAAATTTGATGGTTCTGATTTAACTTCCTTTTGAACTGGTTCATTATTGAATTCCAGAAGGGTATTTGAAGAGTCGTTCTCCATTTTACTTTCAGAGTTAGTAAATTCGTACAAAGGATTTGTGTTTGCTTCAAAATTCACTTTTCCACTACTACCATTGTCTGTAGAAACCTGAAATTATAAAGAAAGAAAAGATGAATATCAGCATTTTCAGACTTTATAAAAGGTCAGTTGATTTCTAAGATTTAGCTGAATACAGATGTTGCTAGGGAAAAATGTAGCCAAAAAATAACATCAACCACAGTAACTGTTTACATAATATTCTTTACATAAACAATTTCTTTGAAGAATTTACCCCAAGTTTTATGACCAGATGAATTCAGTTACAAGAAAATTATACAAACTTATGTAAATAGGACAGACACCAAAGGCTTCATTATAATAACACACAATGATATTCTAAGAAACAGGACTGCGAGATATTAAAATATCAGGTAAATGTCTGTATATTTTATATATTATTTGAACACCTAATGCAACAGTGGGGGGGGGGGGGGGAATATAGCCGGTCAAATGAACCAAGGTTTTTAACCTTCCATCTATCCTCACACTGTTGGAACAATGCAGTGGTTTTGTTATGGGTTTATTTTGATTATCAACAAGTCAAATACTGACTGCTGGCCCCTGAGTTAAAAATATGCTACAGTTAAGCAAAAGTAAGTAAAGGAACCGAATCAACAAGTATATACTCCTATAACTTTGTGTTACAGGAGAATAAAAATGATGTACCAGTTATAACTGATGATGACAAGCTGACATGAAATTTATTGATGTCAGTCACTGTAACATGGTAGGTCACATTTACCATCTAACACTTAGGTTTTTAATACTTGGCTAACTTAAAAATGTACCTTTCATAAATGAATCTGACAGGTGCATAACATAAATTCTTTATTATAATTCTAAGATGGTCTGAATTATAACTTTTATAATCCTAAACAATCAAGGGAGATAATCATATGGAAAAGAGATATACCTTTATAATTTGCTCTTTGAATTGTAAAGGGAAGTAACAAACCAAGACCCTAAGTCAATGGATTTTATGATATTTAATACGTAATTTGATGATAGAAAGTTAAGGTTCTGGTATCAAGCTGCAATATAACAAGAGTTGGTAAGGCACTCCACTTTATTCAGAGTTACTTAATCAATTAAAGGGGCATGAATTTCACAAAAGGGCAATCAACCTACTATTATGGCCATGAAGACATGACTGTGAAAACTTGCATTGGATGGGGGAAAAAAAATTACCAAGTAAATTTAAAACTTGAAAAAAGTTCAAAATGGTACAGATAATATCTGCAATGTACTTTAACGGCCTTTGTATATTTTTAAACGGAAGTGGCAATTAACACAGAGTAAGAATTTTCTATGTACTTTTTCTGTTGCCCTAGACTCATCAGGAATATCTATCAGATATCAACTACTTTAAGAATGTCTACAGACTGCCTGAGAAACATGAAATTCAATTTACATATCTGCCTGCCTGCATGATTCATGTACCGTTATCTTTACACATCAGAGATAGGCATGCAACCAGGAACTCAGAGAAATTATAATCTAGGTAATGTAATCTGTGAACATTCTAAAGATTTCAACTTTCACTAGGTTGCTTCTGAACTTCATTTATCTTAATTACAACATTGAGAGATCTCTAATGTGTTACACAAGTGGAGTAAAAGAGTCCTACTTTTGACAGAATTTGATAAGTTAAGGATCCAAATCATTTTTGTGTTCAAAAATGTCCCGCTAAATACAGTAATTTTTCCATATAATGAGTAAACAGGTTAAAAAGTCTGAAAAAATATGAGTATAAATTCACTAAAAAGACCTTTCTTCGCACAATTAAAATCAAAATGGCTATTAACCTTCAAGTATATATTCAAATCAAATATATACCCCAGACCTCAGTTAAAATTAAAATGTCAGGCTGTAAATATAATTAATTCTAACACGACCCGCATTTTTCCCTATTGAACATAGAAGAACAGAAAGTGTGTGTTATTATGCAACAGATGCACAGTTTGACGTTCTATATTTAGACATGTGACGTAATCATTATACACGTGACGTAACCACTAAAAATCCGACGCGCTGAAAATAAGTACGGAAACAAATCAGGCGCAATTTTGCTTAACTATCAAGTACGGCAACATTTATTTGTTGATGTCGTGTTAGAATCGAAATAATATTATCCAAATCAGTGATTTTATCGCTTGATAACATCACTGTTTGTCGTTCGGATGCGCATCATTATATCACTCGGGCTACGCCCTCGTGATATAATTCCTCGCATCCGAACTCCAAACAGTGATGTTATTGAGCGATAAAATCACTGTTTGGGATATATTATTTCTTAATCAAAATAATGAAAATGTAATAATAATAACAACACTATACAAACATACTGTTACATTACCATTAATGTTTTATGCCATAATATGAATGAGCTACTTAAGATGTTCTAAAGAAATAAATGCATGGCAAACGTATGGCATTTCCTCACTCAATATTGATGGATGCTTATTACTACAAGTGTGGAGAATATGTATCATAAAAAGCAATATACTGAGAAGTTTTCATGATCAAACTTCCCAGCATGAGTAACCTTGACTCATTTTGGGATTGTTTTGCTTTATTAATTTGCACCAAGTTAGCTTTACAGAGTTATGTACTTAAACAACAAGAAGTAATGTTCAGATTGGTGGATTTTCAACCCCTGATAATGGTCCAGCCTGCAGAGATAATTGGATGTACTGCAATCCCCACCATTTTGGTACCAAAACAAAACCCCAATTTAATAACTTGGAAGTGTGGTAACAAAAAGAAAAAAAAAGTGGATTGGTGAATATAAATATGCAACAGAAATCAATTTTGTAACAAAGTGTATCTTAGTGTGAATTGCAACTGTTATATAAATAAATATTAACATGACATGGTATAATATATCCCTTATGCCTTCCAAAATCCTGTATAGTATTATATTTCAGCTTTTTATTTATGAAATTTACTTCATGCATGATAAAGTTATGATACAGAAGCAGACACATTTTTGCCCAAGGGGAAACAACTCTTGACTGCACCTTCCAAATAACTCAGATCACTATCTGCCATTCCCATCTGGATACTGATTGGTGGCAAAACTCCAGACTACTTTTATGAAAAAATATTTTCATTATTAATGTATGTTTATTTATTTATCCTACATTATCAGCAGCACTACTGGAAATTTTCAAGCACCTGATTGACCATTATCTGCTGTTTCACATCTGTGTTAACAGAAGCTTGATGAGTTTTCTGAACTAGACATTTCCCAGACAAACAGAAATTTGACCCAACATTAACTTTTGATAATTTTCATCATTTCAATTTTTTTTCTTGAAAGGTCAGAAGTTGATAACTTGATATAAGAAATGTGTTTATCTGTTAAATGATAGATATTTAATTTTTGCGCCTGCTTTTAAAATAATGATTATCTTCTTCACTATCTTAGAAAATAAATCCGCCCTTGGAGATTTTATGTATTTAAAAGATGAAAAACAAAAATTTCAAGGGGAATTTTAATATAATCATTACACTTACAAACACTTAGGAAAGGAAATTATGTTAATTTTAATAATACTTGTATGTAAAAACAGAAACACTAAGTATCTTATTATATGTCACACAGAAGAAATAGATCAATGTTATTTTTTCCAATTTCAACAAAACAATGTAAATAGACAGCCCCAGAAATGCTACAATCAGCTTAATCTGATGTATGACACCTGAAACTCTCAAAAAAACATAAATCTACTTACATATCCATTCACAATTACATCCATAGCCGATTGTTTTCTACAAGTCAAACCTTGCAATGTAATAACAGAATAAAGTAACGTTATACTGTCTCTCTGCTTATATCAATATATAAAGTTCTATATGCTATCAAATTATCTGAATAATAAATAAGTATATGGAATAAATAATAAATGAAAGTAAGATAATATCTCCAACACACTGATTTAGATTACAAAATGATCTTCTGCTGTTTATATATTGACTGTTTATTAATGGCCCCTCTTTCTGTTTCTGTGACTGTTAGCTTCTACTTAAAATTGCTGAGTCATCTATGAGCAAGTTCCAGTTGATTGATTCTAGAAGAATGAGTAACCTCTCAACCAAAGTGAAAACTCTCTAACCCAAACAAAATCTTTGGGAATATTGATATCAAAGATAATACTGATAATGATCTGTTATTATTAATAACACAGACATAGGGAAAAGCTGTAAAAGGAAGAATTTTAGAGAGTTCATTATTTCAATGACTCCTTACCAGGTAGCCCGTAATAAAAAGATATTAATATAATTTACACAGCAGAAAAAAATAATTTTTACACAAATAAGCCAACCAATGATTTTATATTATTGTTAACACCATCATCATCATCTTCATTGCCCAACAAAACTCATTGTTATAATCATCATCATCCATCATCTGAGAAAAGCAGATCAAAAAATAATGACAACACTAAATTTACCAAGTTTACAGTAAATACCTTTTCAATTATTCAGTTAAATGACTTAAACACTCATACACAAAGGATAAATTTTGTTATTCATTCATTAAACCAGACAGTCTCTCCCTTGTAACAGGAATATTTGTGGTCAGACACTATTTACTCTACCATACCATTTCCTTTCCAAATAAATTAAATATTTAATCATAATATTTAATAAAATTACCAACAAAACCCCTCAATATGAAACCCATTTACAAAACTGTTTTACCTCCCTTAATTGCAATTTTAATATGATTTCTACAAAAATCAAAAAGATGATGTTTAAAAACTTTTTTCACCTTCTAAATCCGAAATTATTTAAATTCTCGGTACGTTTTCAAATAAACTCCAATTTCACCCTGCACTAGCTCCAAAATACTTCCGAAAATATGTTCAACTGTTATTCCAATTGCATAAAATTCATAACAAAGAAACCAGACTCTCACATATGTTTTAAGTTTAAAATAACTTCTCCAAGAATGCACTTTTACCCGATCCCTCAAGATTGTGTGGAATGACTCACTGGTTTTCACCAAAACACAAAACGAATTTCTTCACCAGCCAGTTTAT